TGAGTGGCGTATACAGGAAAGAAAGTCGTGATACAAAAGATCAATGTAGTTTTACTCAAATGTAAAGTGAAATAAAATATAGTGACTATAAGGTTTTACTGTTTTAACACACACAAAAATACCCAAAAAACAAACACACATACTCAGTGAGGTCCCCAAAACTATGTGTGCTTTGTAACCTAACTGCATTCTCAAAAGTCTAATTTAGCTTAGATAAAAATACATTTTGATACTAGGCTTTCAGGACAATGGCGTGCATTGATCCCCTTCTCACCGGTCAATTTTTAGCATGATTGCACCACCACTGACGTCCATCATGACGTTAATATAGAGTCATCGTTACACGAGTCAATAATGTTACGGTTTAATCTGTGAATTGAAAAACACAGCTTGTGTCGAATATTGCTTTTTACTGAAGTAATTAATCTATACACTTTAGTGAGCTGTGGTGTGTGTATTGCTGTAGGGACATTCTTCTCAGAGACAGGGCACGCTGAGGAGATTATGTGTCATGGCTGGCTCTGGAACATCTTTGTTTGTTCTTGGAAAAGATGGACGTGAGAGGAAAATAAGAGGTCTGGGGCAGCTTTAAACAGCTGGTCATTCAACCTGGAAGAGTGTCAGAATCAAGATATACAACTAGATTGATTTCATGTCATCACAAAATATTTCAAAGTATGTGGCTGTGTGAAAATGGTGTTCATTATAGATCAAAATAGACTGCTGTCCAAAGCCAAAAATATAGAAATTCTTTAAATATTTCATGAACTAAAATAATCATAGAATAATCCAATATCTTAACTGACGGCAGAGGGTGTTTTAAGAGGAGATAACTTCTCTAGAAACCCCTAATTTCTCTAAAAGAAAACATATAGGAAGGTGCATCACTGCTTTCTTTAATCAAATGTAATTTCACACATCACTATCCAGACGTCTTTCTTATTAACATCAGCGCATCTCTCCATGACTATATATGAAACCCATTCCAAAAGACAAAACAGCAGTGTGGAAAATTGCTTCATATCTTTTGTTTCATGTTATGCTCCTTTGATACTCAAATAGTCGGCAGCTCCACTTCCTTTCAATAACACAACAAAGCCACAACACCTAAAATTAGATCACAAAAGCAAGACAGCAAATCATTTACAGAAGAGAGCTGAAATCAATGCAGTTTACCAGAGAAAAAGCAGATTTGCTCCTATAAGGATACCAAGTACAGACAAATAAGTACAAATCTTTAACATTACAATAGTTAGAACAATATGTTTGAAAATGTGTTATATGTGAGATGAATGTCTATGATTGGACCCTCTGTCAGCAAGCATGGCAACCCCTCTTCCTTCACCGTTACCGCTCTTTTATGCAGTATCAGTTTGACTGCACAGTCTGAGGTAGAGAGACACTGGAGTCTGGGCAACATTTCAGGGTCTCCATAGCTTGTCGATCTTGTCTGTGAAGGACCTTTCCAGTTCCAGCAATTTAAGCATAGTGTATGTAACTTTCCACTGGCGAAATGAGTCATATGTAATAAAAAGTTGAAAGTCATAATGCTAACCGAAACAGTTCTCAGATATGTCTTTCCAAAGGAAGATAGTGTAATAAACAGCTGCTGCAGCAGAACTGTTTAATATTCAAGAAATAAAATAAAAAAGCTGACACATTTTCAGGATCTGTACTGTGTAACTTAGTCGCTAAAATGTTTGCATTAGGAAGTGACTGCATTGGGTGACAATATATCTTCAGTGATCTTTTCTAGTGAAAAAATTTGAATCTTTCAAAAATTCCATCCTAAATTTTCCTACATCTTGTAATACTAAAAAGAATTAGTAAGAAATTAAACAATCAGCTAGTGGAGATATTCTGTAAAAGAAATGACCTGATGCGCTGCATTCTTGGCATTTTTTGTATGAAGCAACATCTGTATCAATTGTGCATAACATTTATTTTAAGACAAATCAAATTATTTAAATGCACATATGAAGGAAGGCTTTGTTTTTTAGTTTATTTTTTATAAACTGTGTCTGAAAGTACCTTTCGGAGTAATTGAGTAAAATACAAAAAGTCTGATTCACACCAGGTTTTAAGTGAAGATATC